TCAGTGAGGGGGGGGCCAGCCAGCCCAACACCTGGCCCCCGGGCAAGGCCAGACCCCGACACACAGCAGGCCCCCCACACCCTTTGCTGGGGGCACCGGGGCAGCCCTGCCAGGAGCGGAGATCTCGCTGGCGAACAGCTGCTGGCCTGGTGGGGGACCTGCCTGGCACTGGGACACACAGCAGGCCCCCCACACCCTTTGGGGGGGGCACCGGGGCAGCCCTGCCAGGAGCGGAGATCTCGCTGGCGAACAGCTGCTGGCCTGGTGGGAGACCTGCCTGGCACTGGCACAGGACAGCCTGTGGGGGCCATCAGTCCCTCTCACTGCTCGGCTGGCTCCCCCTCTGCCCCGGGGTCGGCTCCAGGAGGGTTTCCTTGCACTCAGATGCCCCATCAGGTCCCCATCAGGTCCTGGCACTGGAGGGTGGGCCGCAGAACCCCCCTTCACTGGTGCTGCGCCTCGAGGCCCGGGCAGGGGGTGGGAGGAAGCCGGGGCTCTCTGCCCATGGGGCAGCTGAAGCCAGGCAAACAGTGGCCACGGGGAGATGAGGGTCACGTCCTAGGGGCAGGCACATGGCTCTGAGGTCTACAGGTCGAGGCACCACCAAGGGGCCTTTCGCTCCATCGCTGCCTTCCACGCACAGCGGCTGCACGTGGGATTCGCATCCCCAGAGGCAAACCCTGCAGGTTACCCAGCCAGCCTGGCTCCTCCCCCGTGACCTGCGCCCGCCCAGGCAGGCAGCGCGGCCGGCGGGGCTCTGCGCAGGAAGCCCCAGTAACTGACGAGCCAGGGCCTGGTACAGCCAAGTCGGCCACGTTCCGGCAGCGACAGCCAGAGGCGAGCAGGGGGCAGGGGTGAGTGGCTCCCGCCGGGCCAGCTGTGCACTCAGCGGCTTACGTCAGTCGCCCACTTGTCGATGACGTCCAGGTAGACATCGTAGAGAGCGTCGATCTCGGCCACAGCCTCGCTGGGGGGCGTGTGCAGGGGCACCAGCACGAACTCCCGCACCTCTGCCGGAGACATGAGTCCCACCTGCAGCTGGTTTCCGTGTACGCACAACACTCCCCCCCGCCCCACACACACACCTGGGGCTGTTCCACACCGCCGGTCCCAGTCCCAGCTCTCCATGTGAGCGCTTCCCCGCCCGCTCCAAATCAAGCAGCACGTGGACTCGAACCTGGGTCTCCCCTGCTCTGTTCCTGTCGTCCCCTGATAGGCCTGCAGTGCTAACGCTCCCCACCCGCTGGGCTGACAGATACTGGGGTTCAGGATCAGTGTCCAAGATCAGCGGGTGGCAGGGGCCTGTGCCGTGAAACCCGGCCCCAGACACGCACTGCCCAAACCAGCATCCAGCCCCACCCGCCAGGTCCTCCTGGCACGTAGGGACCAGCCAGCGTCTGTGTCCGGCTAGGAGCTGGGGACCTGGCGCAGAACTCCAGCTGGCAGGTCGCTGGGGCCCTCGCTGCTTCACAGCGGCTGTACAAACCCAGCACAGGAACGGGAAGCTGCCCGTGGGACTTTGATCCCCCTGCCCTGGGCTGCTTCCCTGCCAGACCTGCTAATGGGTCCTGGTAACCTGGCCCTGCCAGACACTGCACCTGGGTTTGCCCTCTGGCCTGGCTGGGTGCTGCCCTCCTGGCATCACACTGCGCCTGATTCCTGGTGCCTGCTCCGACCACTAGGGAAGGCTGCTCATGTACCCACGGGAACCACTTCCTGGGCCCGGATCCAGCCCCACTCTTTGGATCGAGGCCTGTCTCTGAGCTGATGCACCATTCCCTAATGGTGTCGATATCTCCACGGTAACGCCTGTGGTCCCTGGCGGGAGGGGTCAGCGTGTGGGGGAGCAGGGGTTACTCCAGTGAGGCGCAGGAGGGACCAGAAGCTGGTGTGCCCAGTGCCCTGGGGCAGACCTCCCCCCAGCCCCACTGACCCATCTGAGGGGAGGAGAACTTCACGATGAAGGGCTCCCTGCTGAAGGTGTCGTTCCCGCAGGGCTCACAGCCGTCGTCGTAGTAGTAACTGTCCACCACTGACACCGCGCCCGTCCTGCCGGCAGGAGGGCACACAGTCAGGGGCTCCCCTCTTGGAAGGCCCCGGTGCGCCCCAGGGGCTGCACACAGCCGCGGTGGCTGGGCAGGAGGAGCTAGAGATTGGGGACCTCACCAGAGGTGAAAACTGGCTCAGCAGAGGCTCCCCGGCCTACAGCTCAGCTCCCCCGCTGGACCTGACAGGGTGGGGACCCAGCTGGCCTGGCCCCAGGCCTCATGAGCACACCAGCACATTCTGCACCTTCCCAACAGGGCTGGGCTCCTTCGCCCACCCCTGGCCAGCGCCCCCACCTAGTACTGTCACTAGCTCTGGCAGGTCGCTGGGGCCTTACCTGTAGACAAAGAGGTACTGCTCCTTGTAGGAGCCCCGGCCCAGGGGTGCACTGACCACAAAGCTGTACTGATGTGCAGACGCCCTAGAAAGGGGCAGCAGAGAAGCCAGCCGTGAGGCCCGGGCCAGGGCAGGGAGGGCCGGCATGCACCCAGCACATCTCCCTGCTCCTGCACCACCTCGCACCATGCCTGCTCCACCCCCAGCCCGCTAAGGAGTGACACAGACGGCCTTACGGTGTCTCGTGCCTTGCAGACTCCTCCTCGGTCTGCCCCAGGAATACAAACGCAGAGCATTATTCTCCTGCAGCCCCTTGTATACGTAGGCTGCCTTGACATGACTGTCTGTGCTAGCGACATTAAGGGGGGACCCCCAGGGAACTGCTCACAAGGGGCAAGCTAATAATGGAGAAGCTAAGTGAGCTGAGGCAAAGAGAAAGTCATGCACAGGCAGTCTCAGAGGGGTTGCCGGGTTAGTCTGTAACTTTAAAAACACTGGGTAGTCCTGTGGCACCTTAGAGACTAACAACAATATATCGTGAGCTTTCATGGGCAAAACCCACTACCTCAGATGAGTTGGCGTGGAAAAAACAGGAATCCAGAATTTATAACAGAAAAAGAAGGGGGGAAAAAGTACTTGGTGTATTTTTGTAAGTAACCATTGGAATGTGTGTAGGGGGGTCTGGTGTGATCGTCACCCCTTGTGTCTGGTGGGCTCAGCTTGTCACTGCATCACACAGGTGGTATGTGTGTCACACCTCACTCCCCACCCCTCTGGTGAGGTCATTTTTCTCCTGCAAAGTGGGTAGCTCACAGGGTTGCTGACTGCCTCTGGGGAGCCCCCTGCATGTTACAAAAGGGGGGTGGTAGCTAAAAATCTTCCCCAGGTGCCTTTGCCAGCTAGACGCCTAGGTAGTGCCGGAGTCAGTGGTGTAAACTAGAGCAGCCACAAAGCTGCTGTAACCCCAGAAGAAAGCTGCCACCCAGAGACCGGACTCAATCCCCATTTCTACCCAGGCTTTGCTCCGTGTCTGCACGTGGCAGATGTCCTCAGGGAGTCCCGTGCTCCTCTGCTTGTGCTGCCTTTTGTATACAAGACAATTGCCATGAAATGTGTCACCCTGGTACCACTGTATGCTTGTGTCATGCTCATTTTGTGTGCCTGGTGGCGCACAGTGCCAGGCTCCTTCTCACGTGTTGGTGAAAAGCTCCAAAGGCCCACCAGGGTGTCTGCGATGGGACGCTTGCCCCACACTGGCCAGTAAGGGGTTAATAAAGTCCTAGAAAGGCTATATGAAAAATAGCCAATAGGAGAGGGGCTGTGAGGGGTGGCCAATCAGGGCCCAGTAAACCCATACAAAAAGAGACTCAGGGCAGAGCAGGGTCAGTAGCTGCCTGGAACCTGAGGAGGGAGAACTGTGGAGTAGGCTGCAACCCTGCAGCAGCCCTGGCACAGCAGTGCAGGCAGGAACCCAGGGGGAGAATGGGGCTCCAGACAGGCTGCTGAGACTGAGGAGGGTGCTGAAGCTGCAGAGGAGTGGCCCTGGGAAATGCAGCGATAACAGAGGCAAAGGCGCACGGTGAGTGTGATTCAGAGGGTTCCTGGGCTGAGATCAGGAGCAGTGGGTCAGCCTGGGTCCTCCCCTTCACCACTGGGGAAATGGCAGGAGCTAACCTTCCCCCAGAGGGCTGAGCCATGAAGGATGCGGCAGTTTCTGACGATGTGGGAGGGGCTACAGGCGGATGAAGAGGGACCGAGTGTAGACCGCGGATGAGGGCATCCGCCTTGAGCTAGTCCCCCAACTGACCAGGAGGGGGCGCCAGAGCGGTGGTGAGTGACATGCCCTGTGACGGTGTCACAGAGTCCATGATGCCAGAACCACCGATGGCGCCCCGCTCCAGCACTCCCTGCATCAGAGGTACTGCTCCTTCCCCTCCAGCTACCCACGACGTGCCCGGCTACTCCGGTGACCTGGGCACCTCCCCATCTGCACGGTTTGGGAAGCACCTGTTGAGCTGGTCCAGCAGTTTCCTGACGGCGCTCAGATCACTGTCACGGACCTCCTGCACCACAGCGATGTCGTACGCCTGCACGATCTGGGGGGGACACAATGCGCCGCGCGGGGAAGCTGAGCCTGGCCCCGGGCAGCTCCGAACACCCGTCGCCTTGCTCCCCAGCTTCCCTTAGGGGCTCACAAACGCAGGGAAAATTGCCCAGAACACCCAGCGAAAGCAGAGGCTGCAGCCCCCAGGACCAACAGGCCCCCTCGCCAGCGGAGCCGGGCGTTTACCTCTCTTCTGCTGCAGAGCACAAGCTGGGGCGCGGAGCTGAGCCCTAGGGGGGCTTAGGTGGGGAAACAGAGAACAGGAAACAGCAGCATCCAGACTGCAGCTGTTCCAGGGGAGTTTGATACCAGCCCAAGGGATCCCAACAGAGCAGGGACCAACACGGCAGTGATGGGTCAGTGCGCAGCGGGAGATGCACTGCATGGGGATGTCTGGCCCGGCTCCCAAGGCTACCCTCCGTCTGTCTCTGGAAATGCTAGTATCTGGAGTGGTGATTAGACAGATAATCGATGCCCATACGGAACCATCTATCGCTTGGACCTGGGTTTCACTTCTCAGCCCTGGTCTCCCCTAGGGAGTTATGTTGAAATAACCCCCCTTATTTTGAAATAATAAGCGGAGCGTCCACACAACCAAGCCCGTTATGTCGAAAGAACGGGCTGGTTGTTTTGAAATCTGTGCGCCTGCTTTCCTTGAGGAATAACACTTCTTTCAAAATAGCGGCAGTGCGGACGCTCCACTGCTGGATTTCGAAATAACGACTCCCCAGAGTCATTCGAAGTCATTGCTCTCTAGCGCTTCCTGGGGCTCTACGTCGAGGTAGCACGTCCACAGTAACGGAGCCTGCCTCGGACGAATTTCGAGGCTCCCCGTAGTGGGGACATGCTACTTCAGTTTTTTTATTTCAGGAGTTTTTATTTCAAATGTAGTTAGTCTGAAATAATTTCCGAGTGTCGACAGGCCTTCCGTGTTCTGGGGGACAACGTGGCTGCTGGAAACTGAAACTCGATAATTGCCCTGTTCTGTTCAGTACCATGGCATCGGCCACTATTGGAAAACAGGACGCTGGGCTAGATGGACCATTGGTCCGACCCAGCATGGCCATTCTTAGGTCCTGATCACTCATCTGTGCCCAGGCATAACCATCCCTTGAGCTACCCTCTCCTCGACAGCTTCACTTCTCAGTGGGACACGGGGAAGGCTGGATAGCGTCTCTCCGCAGCGATTCCCAGGCAGGCCTCAGCCTGTCTCAGTAAGCGGGAGGACTGGGCGGAGCCACCATGGAGGTATTAGGCGGTATCCAGCCCTTAGCCAATCAGGGTGGAGCAAGCACAGAAACAACCCAGCACTAGGCCCTTGCTTGCGCCCTTTGAGCCAGGTTGCTATGGAGCCTTCTGCCAAGTGATGGCAACCTCCAGGCCCACAGAAGACGCCCTTCCGAGAGCTCCAGGACCAGCTGCTTGATGGAGTCCAGGGCACCTGCTGCTCCTGAGAGTTGCTGGGATGTGGCACCCCCCCCACACACACACACTTACATCCACGATGATGCCCGCGATGGTCTCGTTGGACAGCTTGCTGTCTCCAAAGGCCTTGATGTTGAACGCGCTGATTCTCAGGGCGGCGGCCGTGCCCAGCAGGTGGGCCAGGGCCAGCAGGGCCAGCGCCGGCTTCATGGCTCCCACCCTGTAGGCAGGAAGGGACACAGAATCTGTAGGGGTCTGCAGGGAGGTTAGTCGCCTTAGAACCTTGCACGGCGGAGAAGGGGCCTGGCCTGCCTCTAGTCCCCAAGCAGTCAGGAGGGCTGAGCGCCAGCCAGGAGCAGAGACGGGAGGTCAGGGGGACGCAGCCTGTGCATCTGTTAGGGGCTGGTGTGATCTCCCTGGGGTCAGTGCATTGCTCCTTTTGGCGTCATTACGGGCTGGTCCTGGAGGGAGCAATGCAGCTAACGCAGCCCCTGCTCCCAACGGTTCTCCGCTCCCTCACCCTGCGTTGCTTCTAGCCAGCTCCCCCCACATCCCGACAGCAGCAGCCTGACCGGCCACCCTGTGCCTAGGTTCCTGGGGGCAGCGCCGTCTGCAGCACTTGCAGTGGCACTAAGCACTCCTCCCCGGGGCACTCGCGGCTGGGATCTGTGTCCGCGAAGGGATCCAAAGAGCAAGGGCTGAATTCTTCTGGCAGCGTCCCAGCCCGGTGTCAATCCGGAGTCATGCTGCCGAAGCCCAGAAGAGACCCGGATTTACCCGTGTGTGTCTGAGAACCAGGCATGGGCCGATGCCGGGGTGGCTGAGGTGGACTGGGCCCACCTCAGCGGCTGGAGGGCTCTGGGGGGGCCCTCTGG